AATTGTTTACATTTGATTGTTACAATTGTGATTCCTTTTTGATTATCATCATCATTTAACTGTCAACTTAACTTACTATTATTTACACATAATACAAACATCACGTGTCTCTCTGTGAATATAATATGATATATATTATATTATTTGAATGTTGCTCAATAATGTATATATATGTAACAATAAATGTCACCTAATTGATTGTCAATGTTTCAGTTGAATCATCATGTTGATAATCAACAGTCTCAATGTCCATCAAGATTCAAGCCACAACCATTAGCGTATCAATATATTATCATCATTATCATCCATTAGATTACCAAGTCTATTGTCTTGAAATGAGTAAATATATTTATGTTTATATGTGTGTGTGTGTGTGTGCATACCCACACTCCCACTCATATGCATACCCACATCTACACCCAAGCTGATAAAAAGCATATGCAACAATCATTGATAATCATTTGATTGATAATCTCCATGTGATTATTGTTCCCAAGGTTCTGAACTTTTTCCTTATCGACTTGACCTGATTCCCTGAATCACAAATGACCAATCAAACCTTAATAATAATAATCATCATCATAATCAACCATTGATATTATTTCATTAAGTGTATAAATATTTTTTCCGTTTCCCCTGTAAATTATTATCATTATCATCCAATAATATTATCATTCCTGTGGTAAATATAATATACCGATTCATTTCATATCACTTGGATATTGGATACATACATTGGATGCTACGCCAAGGTGAAAGGTCAAGTTAATGATATTATTAGATAGACACACTTGACTGATGATAATCTGATCAATAATGATTAAAGAAATTAATAAATTGGCTCGAGTTGTATATTCATTTGATAATGAAACTGTTCAGCAATTAACTAATTATCTATGGATTGTTTTTTGAATTTGCATCAAGCAAAACTAATTTGGTGCTGGATTTAATTATCAATTCTCATTTTTAATTAGCATAAATAATCAGTTTCCATTTTATTTCTGCTGAGTTTTCATGTAATTTTTTTTTGTTGGAATGAAAATTTTCTCGATAATAACTTTTATATGTCACAAACAAATGACAATGGACATTGATGAGGATTTTAAATCTATATCAATGATGATGATTACCCAGAACTATCATCCATGATGCATACATAATATACGAATGTAAATATTTAGCAGATTATATTCAATATCTAATAGGAAAAAGGTTGTTCCCAGAGAATCGAAGGCAACTCGAAAGAGAGAAAAAAAAAGTTCTAATCGAGAATAATCATATCAACTGTATCTAATTTTAGATGATACCTTATACATGATGATGACAAGAAGATGAACATTTTCATTATAATAATCAATTCCGAAGAAGATGATGAAGACGATGAAGATGATGATGATTATGAGGATGACAGTTCTCTCTCTCTCTCTCTCATGTTTAACCCTAAATCATGTTAATGTTTCAATCGCTGTAAAACTAATAGTTACCTTCATTTGAGGTTATACTCGACCTATCAGATTATTATCATTACCTAATTTGCATGTTATTGTTTTTGCCATCGAGATGAAAATATAATCAAAATCGGAGAAATTATTTCCTGAACTTTTCACCGAAAGCTCAATTTCAATTGTTATCCAAATCAAGTGAACCTTGTAAATGTAATCAAAAAGGTAACATGACTTGAGATTCATTTGAATAACATACAATTTATATTCAACAATATTTAACATTTCACTTGGATGATTTTTTCAATATATCGACAATTATTTTTTTCTAATCAATCTCTCAGTTCAATCATGACAATTTCATGGGAATCACTTTTTTTTAACAAAACAACTAAATCAAATCATAGATCTCAATTGATGATAAACTTATTGTTATGCTTTGTTATTTATTAGTTTCAATGGTTAAATGTTGACATTTGTTGATTGTTTACTTTTTAATTGTTCCATCAAAATGAGAGTTTTCAATTTCAATAATGTACTAAATAATAAATGACAACAATCATTAACCCACTTTAAGTTAAATCCTGTCAACAATTAAACGTTGATTGTAATGTTTACCTGTGAAACTTGGCTATCGATTAGCATTATAATAGTGATGATACTTGAGCTCAATGGTTAATACAAATTGTTGATATGAAGAAAAAAAAATTCAATTTTTCTGTTGAAAATGAGTTTAATTTGATTTGGGTTCTAATGATTTGATTATTATAATTAATTGCAATTAAAGTTATGACTTGTTTGGAGTGGATTTAATGATTTCAAGCTGGACTCAATGGTTAAGACAGATGCAAGAGATTGAATGAATTGCTGCTATTCAGTGATGGGAGGTAACGGTTCGAGGGTGGATGTTGATGAGGATGAGGATGAGGATGAGGAAGATGGAGATGAAAGGAAGAGATAACCTTAAGAAGGCCTATATCATAATGGTTCGAAAGATGATAAATGCGCTGTTCGAGGAATCGAAATTCTCAGTGACAGCCCACTCGAAAGAGTCACAAGTCTTTTTTTCAAGTTCGAAAGGTAAAGAAATGGCCTCTTTTCTGTTCTAAAGATGATGATGAATCACCATGGTAACTCATCTTTTCTTTTCTCGTTTTTATCATAGGAAAAAGAAGAAGAAAAAAGTTCTTAGTCCAAATTGATGATTTTCTATGAGAGGGAAAAAGATGAGAAGAAGACGAAGAAGATCAATCGTCATTCCATTAGTCGAAGATGAAGAGATACAGAAGAATAAGAGAAAAAAGAAAAGAAAATCGAAGATTCCAAGATTCGAATGATAAGATTTATCCCCATATGGTACACGAACCTGTCGAGATTAATACTCACCGAATTAATGAAAACATCAATCTAATCATTCATTATTAATAACTAATCATTACGAATACAAATCAACCTTTTTCTTGCTCCCTTCTGATTATCACTTAATTTAATCTCTCTCTCTCCCTTTCTCCCTCTCTCTTGATGTCAATGTGTCCATTTTATATTCACTGATCAATTTTGGAAACTGTGATTATCTAATTAACTAAATCAACTAATTAATGTCTTCTAATCATTGATGGTCATTGTTGATTCATGTTGACAGCATTAAATTAATCATGAAAATGAAAAGGTTATCGTAAGTACATCATATTGACAACAATAAACTGTCAACCTGAATAAGATATACCTTATATGAAAAAAAGGTAAACAATCAATCATAATTATTATCATGATTATGTCAAACAATTGTGATTATCAGCAATTTACTTACAATAAAGTCACATGAATAATAATGTTAACCTATCGGCGAATCAACAATTAGCTGGTATGACAAAAATTTCCAAAGTTAATCTAATAGATACAGAAATAAACTAAACACTTTTTACATCTGATCAAGATTAGGATTTAGTGGATTAACTTTCTTATCGATAATTTACAAGGACGAGAGAGAGAGCGAGAGAGAGAGAGAGTGAGAGAGAGTGAGGGAGAATAAGATGAAGGCGAATTGATTTATGAGAAAAATGTTCTCACTCAGCATTCTGACCATATGAATAGCTCAGAATGTGTTCTCGAAGTGGACATGGTGCAGAATTTTTTCTCCCACCCCTGACCCTCCATTGTGTCCAACGTTGTTTAAGATGAAATTGAGTGACCACTTATCCTCTTTATCTTCCATTGAAAAGTGACCATTGATCAAGAAATAATAATAATGATAATGGATAATAAAGGTTATCGGCTATTATAATGTTGTCCATATGTAATCTAAATATTATCATTGTTATTTTTGTGTGTCAATGCTGAGACAGTGGAGTTAATGTATTAGAAGAAACCGGAAATACTTTCCTCTTCCTCTTTGATACACAGGGTGGGGACAGTCTGAATGCTGGTGTTCCAGTGGAATTGGAATAAAAAAACAGATTTCTCTCTATACATGAACTTTTTTTCGAGCCAAATGAATTCCTATGGGGTGGAACCAACATCATTCTCATCCAGTGAATTCACAGGAAATCAAAGTTTATCCCTTTAAATTGATTCGAAAGGAAGATGAAGAGTAGCCTCGGAAATCAACATCTTCTCATCCTCATCATCTTCTTCTCTCTCTCTCTACTCGTCATCTTTTCCGTTATTCATTCAGATGATTAGTGTAGGAAGACAGTGGATAAGAATCAACATATTCATCATCCTTTGAGTTCGAACTTTTTTTCATCATCCTGTTTTTCTCTTTTTTCACTTTCTCTCTTTACTGTCGCTCATTTACTTGGAACTTTTTTTTCTTCTTCTCATCATCATTGGAAGAAGAAGAGAATGATGATGAGACTGATTATTTTACTTTTCTTCTGTCAGAATAAAATAAAAAAGCTTCGAACATTCAGTCGAACTTTTTCTTCTTCATCAGAACTCACAATTCTACGCCTCTTTCTTTTTTTTTTCTCTCTCTCTCTCTCTTTTTCAGCCAACATTTTTTGATTACTTTTCCATCTCTCTTACTCTCTCATCATTCTCTTCCATAGTCATATCCCTCTCGTTACCTCTCTCTCTCTCTCTCCATTTACTCCCCACTCTCACCATCATCCGCCCACCGAAGTCCTCAATCACTTTACATGATCTCGACTCATCTTCATGGGTACATCCTCGAATGACACTTGATTTCATTTCAGTCTCTTTTTTCATATTATTTCAAATCATTTTCTTCGTCATCTCCACCTCCTATTCATCCGCTTCCTACTCCACCCACTCTCCCCTTCCCTCTCCTCCTACTCCCTTTACTTTTTAACGAAATGGACCATCAAAGATATTGAATAAAATTGTACAAATAGATTTAAACTGCTCTGAATTAATCATCAATCCTTTTGTCCGAAAAGCATTTATCTCTCTCTCTCTCTTCATCATTTCCGTTTCCGATTTAAAAGTTTCAAAGTAAAATTTAATCCCAACAATCAACAGATCAAAATGATTATGATTCCCAACAAATTGAGAAATAAATTTCCAAACAAAATTTAAAGTTTAAAAGTTTCTTTCTTTATTGTAAATTATTAACCTGCAATTAAATCAAATTATTTACAACAATTAACATTCCACTTTGTCCATTTAATCAATTGTTTGTTATATTTACAATTGCAAGTTAATTTAAACATTTGACATTGAAATTAACAGCAAACATTTACTGAATTAAATATATAATATAATGATCAATGAATCTGATTATTCATTTGATTACCATGATGAGGATGATGATTAAGTTGATGATGAAAATAAGATTAAAACACACATTTATATATATATAGAGAGAGATGAAGATATTACATGAATTGAGTTTATATTGGAAATTGGAGATTAAGTTAATCTCTGATTTTTTTGGTTAATCCATTTTTCTTGCGAGAAGATATTTAAGCTCGAGGTTGAAGTGTTTAATGTTTTTTAATGGCTTTTTGACTTAGAGATGAGGATAAAGTGTCAGCTTTTTGTTTTCCTTGTAATAATAATATTGGAGGATAATATTAACACGGTGGGTGGAAAGTGGGTGGTGGATGGTGGGTGTAAATGTTAAGAGGTATCGCTTTTAAATCTCTGAGTTTTGTCCTCATCCTTGAATATTGAGAAGATTGAAAAAAGTGTTTGAATAGAGATTTTCAGATTTCCCTCCCTTTGATTATGAAAACACTTTCAAGATGATTCAAGGATGAGAATGACGATGATGATGATGATAATCGCCTTAGATTTAATTCCCATAGATAAGTCCACAGGATTGGAAGGTTGATTCATTTGTTGTTGAAGTTAAAAGTCTTTTATGATGAAGGTGGGAAGATGATGAAGATGAGGTTGAAGATGTTGATTGATTAATATCACTTGATGTTGATTCTTCACCGATTGAACCTGGATTAGTGGTGTAGGGATGAGGGTGGTGATTATGGTGTAAATTGGTTGTGTTGTTGTTGGTGTTTGTTGTCGATGGTGAAGATGAGGCTGATGATGAACTTACCGATGGGCATGATGCTGGCATTTCAATTGGAACCTCACAAAGACCGGAACTGGAAACATAATCGGAAAATACTTTACCAAGAAAAGTGTTGGTTCGTTGTTGTTTCAAAAAGTTATCAGTAAATGATGGAAATGAACTTAGATTATCAACTGGACATGAGGGTGATGATGATGAAGATGAAGATGAGGATGTGGATCTTAATGCTGAGATAACAGAGATTGGGTGAGATTCAGGGTGAGAATGCTGAAGATGGTGATGATGATGATGATGATGATGTCCATCAATAGGTAAACTTAATCGTGGACCATGAGGAGCGTTTGAAAGACGCGTTGAAGGCGTTCCTTGGTCATTAAGATGATGATGATGATGATGATGAAATGGATGATGAGAATGAGGATAAAGATGATTACTGAATGGGGTGGGTATGATTGGTGTTATTGAGGTTGATGTTGAGGAGGTAGAGGACAATGAGGATGCTAAAGATGCTGTTGTTGTCGTTGATGATGAAAAAGGATGTTGAGGTGATGTGAATTCTGAATGATGATGATGAGGGTGGTGGAGGAGGAGGTGGGATTGATTTGAGGGAGATAAATATTGTAGACCCTTTGATTGATGATCTTTTTTCAATTTAACATCCAACATGATTGACCTATTATCATCTCTATTGTCATCCCTGTTGTTATCATCGACATCATCATCATTATTATTACTTTTACCGTTATTTATATCGCTTTGAATTATAAGGGAACCATTTCCCGGGCAAATTGGACTCACTGGGAGTGGGTTGTGGTTGATTGTATTTGTTATAACGGTTGGGGTAATCATAATATTGTCTGGTGCTGTTGTTGATGATGAGGAGGAGGAGGAAGATGAGGAAGATGATCCATTTACATTATAAACACAATTGGGATTCTCAATCCAGGATTTGGTTGATTTTGATGAAACAATTGTCGTTTTTGATGGTGACATTGTTGATGATGATGATGATGGTGTTGTTGTTTTAGTTGTTGAGGTTGGTGTTGTTGTCGTTGTTGTTGTCAAGGTTATTGGTAGGGGGACACTAGAAGAGGTTGAAATAGATGATGAAGATGATATTGATGATAATGATGAGGTTGATGATGATGAAAGTGCCGGTGATGTTGATGAGATGATTAAAGGAAGTCGAGTTGAATCATTAGTCAAATTGTTTTGATTTAATGATTGTTGAGATTCATTTGATTCTGAATTTATTTGTATCAATTGACGTCCAGTTGATGTTGGGGATGAAGGGTCAGTTTGTCCGTAAGGTTGAATGTTATTTGAATTTGGAGTTGAAGTTGATGATAGATTATCACTTGTCACATCAATTGGATGATTCCAAGTGAGTGGATCACGGTTGACATAAGATGGACTCGATGAAGTTGCCGTTTGAGCCAAAGACCAAATTTTGGGCCTAAAGTTTGAATCGATATCGATAATTAAGAGGAAAAGACATTTTCAGTAAATTAAATTTCTCATGAAAAGTTAATCAGTGTAAAGTTTTTATTAGTTTACCTTTGAGCATCTTGAAGGGATGAGGAGGTCAAGTGAAGATTATCATGAAATCTTCTGATGTCTATCTCATTGTTTGATTCTTGTTTGATATGATGATGACCAGTGGTCATTAAAGCTCGATGATGAGGATGGAGAAGATGAGAAAGAGGTGGTGGAGGATGAGACTGGGAGTGAAGTGAAGGGTGTGTAGGAAGATGTGGGTGGTGATGAGGATGGAAATGAGATATTCCTGAGTTGAAATGAGTCTGATAATGTTGATGTTGTTGTGCAATTTGATCTTGTTGATGGTGTTGCTGTTCAAGATGATGCTGTTGATGATGATGATGATGATGAGGTAATGATTGTTGTTGCTGCTGATGCTGTTGTGAGCTAAGATGTGTTAATGGATGAAGTTGATGATGATGATGAGGATGAAATGAATGTGGATTGGTAATGATTCCTAATTTACTTTCATTAACTTCAATGTTACTCAATATTGGTGAGGTTAAGTCATGATGATGATCATTGAGACCCGATTGGTAACTTGACTTATCCAGATTACCAGGTAAATCAGCTGATCCATTAATTTGCCTTGATTTTTGTTTATTATCATCACAATTGTCCATAGATATACTCATCTCTATGGTCGATAGGACGATAATCGGAAGAGATAAAGAAAAGATGAGCAAGAAAAAAGTTTCTTTTTAGTTGGTCAAGTAAATGAATGAGAACAAATGATGATAATGATGATGATGATGGCGAAAAAAAGAGCAAAGAGAACATTGTTCTTGGAAGATGCTGGGAAAACGTTGCAACAGAAAAAGGAAATGAAACATTTTCTTTCTTCATCTTTCCTCCATCAAGAGCTCATTTCCTGGAAGAAAATTATTCTTTTCCTCTTCTCATACAACCCTCACACACCACAATTAATATCATCCACATAAAGGGGAGAGGTCAAAGCCTTACAAATAATTTGCCACAATTTTCACCCCCACTGGTCATCTAGAAACCGCTTCCATCAAATTATCCATCAGAATTGACCATTAAAATGATGAGTGTAATCACATTTAGTTCAACATTAGATTTGAAAACTTTTTTTTTCCAAAAAAAAAATCCAATTCGATTTCTATGAATTATTTATTCTCATGATAAATATTAGTGATCATGTAAAGTTCAGCCAGTTCAAGGAAACAAGATAATCATCATGATTATTGTTATTATGATCTAGGGAATCGGCTAATATATTCAAGGATTGAGATAAACCCTATACTCTTAAATGACCATGATGATGATGATCATGTTTCTATCAGATTCTCAACTGAATCAGAATGAGAAAAAAGTTCTAATCCTATAGATTATATATTTTCATGGTTACTTAAAGCTTGTTAATATTATATAATAGTTACCATGTTGTTCAAAGTATTATTTCACTTTTCGTTATTATTATTTTCTCCTCTCCCCCATGTTAACCCTGATGATAATAGTTTCGAAGAGAGAGAGAGAGAGAGAGAGAGAGAGAGAGAAAGGAAAAGTTCTGAACAATTCTGAAAATAAGATGAAGATGAAGATGATAATAGCATTGGAAAGTACAATCTTCCAGAATGTCAAATAAATCATTCCCACTCCCCCTTTCATGATGAAACATATAAGTGATAATAGGAAATAAAGTACAACTATCTCATGAAGGAAGAAAAAATCTCATGAGTTTTTTTCAGAACTTTTTCCTGTTAACTAATTCAAGTTAATCCTCTTTCTAATAAACATGAAAATAATCATGATTATGATAATGTCTTCAAATTATGCTGTCATGTATTTGAGAATTGATAATAATAATCTTTATTTAAATTTCTGTGAATCTCTGATTTATCGAAATAAATAAATTCCATATGAAACTTAATATTGAAACAAGAAAAAAAGTTTTCATAATATTAATAAATTCAGTTCAAATCAAGAATATTGGAAGAAAAAAGTTCACAATTTTCGACTTCTTCCTGAACAAGGTGATGTAATGAATGAATACTCAGGTAAACACCATGTAAAGACCAACCCCTTTTATTATTATTGAATTTGAAACTTTTCTTTCTTGTGTATTTGTATGAATTTCAATTTACCATGAAAACAAGTGAGCAAAAAAACAGGGTAAAAAAAAGTTCTAAGTCAAGAAAAAAAAGACTCGAAAAAACCATCGCATCAACATGATAAATACCTTATGATGTTTACAAGATTTTTCAGCCTGAAAAAGCTTGAATGAAACTAGAATGTGATGAGAAACCGTAAGATGAAAATTTCTTTTGAAATTCTGAGTGTCTGAGAAAAAGATCATGACAAGGGTGGGGCAAGGAGATAATGTTTCACCTTCATGTCTTGTGAAATGTGAAAAATGCATTACATTTCACCTGAGATTTTACTCTCACAGGATCAGATCTTTATCATCATCATGCTCATCATCATGATCTTTTCTCTTGCAACATCAGCCCAATCAGAATCATCAGAGTCATTGGAACTTTTTTCCTTCTCCTTCTCTCTTTCTTTCTTTCTTTCTTTCTTTCTCTCTTTCTTTCTTCTTTCAGCAAGGTAAATCATTTTCTCCATCAATTGATCATCATTAAAATATAATAATAATATCGAAAAGATGTAATTTTAAACTTACCATCATCATCTTCATCTCCATCTTCATCATCAGCATCAATATCTTCCGGGTTATTGTCAATATCATCTCCATTTAATGAGCCTTTTTCATCCTTAATATCAACCGATTCATTTGTTTTACTTCGAGGTTCCCAGGTCATTTTGTTTTCCTTTTTCAATCGCCGCCGGGCATTTGCGAACCAAGTTGACACCTAGAAAACAATGAAACAGAAATTCAATCTAATATATATCCCAATTATCACCCTCATGGTGGTCATCGAGTACAGAAAGAGAGAGTGAGTGAGAGAGAGAGAGAGATGATGATGAAATGTACATCATCTGGGTGTATGTTAGATTATCATTAATAAATCAATGTTGAGAATCAGTTATAATCCAAAATAAATTGAAATCCAGAATATGAACAAAAAGTATCAAAAGTTACATCTTATTACATTCTGTCAGTTATATTAATATATTGGATATCGTTATGGTTACTCAGTCAATCCAATATATCACAATATTGTATTGACATTTCCCTCATCCTATCAGATTGTTATTAATACTTTCAACTGTCTTTGCCTTTTTTTTCATTAGATAATCTCTTAATCTCTAATATTAAATGACAATTAAATACGTAATCTAATCTGGATTAATGTTTAAACCTTTTCCATTGTTCATATTAAACATTAGATACATTTGATTGTAATCTAATTGAATTAATCAAATTAATGTTATCACGATTAATTTGAAATTTGTTTTGATTAAAATTATCATTTGATTGAATCAACTAAACTGATTTAACTTGGAAAACTTTACTGATTAAATTAATTTCCAATCAAATCTTTCAATCAATGTTACTTAATATCCGTTGAAATGTTAAATTAACATCAAAGTGATTACGATTACTACAGTAATTAACTGATTTAAATCAAGGTAAATTCTTAATTATCTCAAGTAATAATCTTTTAAATTATCTCTTAATTGTAATTGTATCATAAACAACTTTGAAGAAAATTAACCAAATCAATTATATATCTTTTAAATTGTCGATGAACTTTTTTTTTAAACTTTTCTAAAACTTGATCAATATCTAATTACGATGTTTATGTTTACAATTAACTGATTGTTATCTTACCTGTGTCAATGTCATTTGGGTTATGATTGCAAGCATGATTTTCTCACCCTTGGTTGGATAGGGATTCTTACGGTGCTCATAGAGCCACGATTTCAGAGTGTTGGTCGTCTCTCGAGTGGCGTTTTTCCGCCTGGCCGCCGATTCCATGGCTCCGTGTCGATTACCATACGTTGGATAGATGCTTCCATCGTAGGGATAACAAGTTGGCGGTGGAATGTGAGTCCAATTGCTTCCGTCGTAAGGATAACACGCCGGGGGCGGTAAATGTGTCCAGTTACTTCCGGTTGGTTCTTTAATCTCATAACTTGGGGTTGGACCTTTAACACATAACGATGAATGAATCATGCTGATGGATCAATAGATTAATTAACAGGCCACTAATTAATTACTAAGAATAAACCTTGATGATGATTCACTAATTGTTTAGATGACACAATTGAATTGTAAACAGTTTTCAGATCGAGAAAATGATTTCGATCAACATCATTTGAACAAAATGTTCGAGAAAAGTTAACTGTCCCTTTTGGACAAGTTTAATTGTCGAAAGTTTTTGTTGATTGTTTTGTTAATTTTGTTGAATTTGGTTCGTTCTTGAGAGAGAAAAAAACTTTTTCCAATTGTAATAAAGATTAATTCAACCACAGAAAAGATAATACAAGTGGAGAAAAAAAAAGTTCACAGATAAAAAGCAAATTCGAGGGAAACAAAATCTCTCGGTTAAAGGTTCAAACTCGAACTTAGAACGTGAAAGTTTCTCGAAAAAGATTGCGCATGGATTAAACTCTTATCCAATCAGAACAATTTATCGATACAAGTGATTATCATAATACTGAGAATGGAATAGAAAATTATTATTATATCAACTAGTCGATATAGCGACTCACTCGAAAGTCCAAAAAGAGGACGAAAATTAAAAGAGAAGAGGGAAAACTTTTCTCTTCTCTATCCTAGAAAAGAAAAATGTTTCCAATCTAAAACTCGAAGTTCTGAACAAAAAGAAAAGTAAAGAACAAAAAAAAAAGTTCCCTACACATAATTTAATAAGAGAAGAAAAAATTTTAATAATAAATTATTGTCATGATAATAAAAGAATAAGGAAAAAAATAGAAATTAATTAGACAATGAGTAAGGTAAACAAACGAATCGAGTCCACCTTGAGTTTCTATCCGTTCAGGTGAATAACAATACAAGTGAATACAAACTCGAAGGTGGGTTAATCCCCATCTAAAGTCACCCGCTGAGGTTAAATAGCCTTCTCACTCTCTCAATCTTCCTCTCTCTCTCTCTCTCATCATCATCATCATCTTCTTCTTCTTAATCTATCACTTTAACTAACTACCTTTACCCCCACCCTTCATATCACCTTTACAAATGTTAACCTGATTTACCTGTGATGATTGTTGCTGTTGATAACATTCATGGAGGTCCTATTGAATTTCAATGTTTAAGCTTATTGTTGATTGTTGATTGTTGTTGATAATCATCATCATCATCATCATTATATTATTTACCTTTTTTATTCTCGATCATATCAAAATATCATGAGCTTATTTATTACCTTTTATTATCAACATTGGTTATCAGTGAGATATCAAAAAGTTATCTATTCATTGAAATGTCTAAAGTGTCAGGATATTTGTTGTTATTGTCATGATAACTTTCACGATTGTTAAGGTCAAAGGTGATCGTCTTAAAATGCTGATATTTACCTGCGATAGGTGTGAAAACAATTATTTCCATAGAAAGAAAGAGAGAGAGAGAGAAAGAGAGATAATTTAAAAAGAAAGACCTTTTTCTTTTTCTATTCCATCAATTGTCATGTTAATGTTTCGTTTTTCCTGTTGGTAAATGGATTAGATCAGTTACTTTAATCTCTTTAATCTTTTAATCTGATATCCAATTTTAACTAAGCTCTCATTTCAATATTATCTCATTTTCTCATCTTTTTTTTTCTCTCTCTCTCTCTCTCTCAAATTCGTGAGATAAAAGGGTTCACCATTTAGAACTCATATTCCAAAATTTTCATCACTTTTTTCGAACAAAATTTTATTCTATCATAATTATCTCAGCTAATTAACTTATCAGATTAATTTTCGTAACTTTTGACTTTTTGATTCGAAACTTGTAACGACATCTAGTGTTTTCTTTTCGAACCTCCTTCAACGAGTAGTTCGATCAAATTAAATACTTTCGAAATCCCAATTAGCCAATTAAATTGAAAATTTTTAACTTCCAATTCAGAGTAAACTAACTGATCGTAAAAATTTGTAATACAATCAAATTCCAATTGAACAATTAGTTAATCAGAAAATAGTCTAACAGAAGTTAACTGAACATCCATTAGATGGCGACTAGAGTCCAATGTTATTTTCTCCCATTAAATGATCACAATCAAGTAAATTGTTTCCACAATTTGACAAACTGAATTAAAGCAAAGAGACAAAATCAATTAGGAAAAAAGAACCATGGAAATAATTTAATTACATTGAAATTGAATTGGAAATTTACATCAATCATCAGCTGATTAGAACCATCGACTCATTGATTAGTTTATCGATATCTGAACATCTCGAATTACAGAAAAGAAGAAGCAAAAAAAGACTAATCAACCATTAGAACGGAAAAAGAGGTTAAAAGATCAAGAAGCAATTTAATTAACAATCTATTATTATCTTTATTGGTGCGTATGTTTAATGGGTAGAGAACATGAAAGTTAATCAAAGTGCTAATTGTTTGTTTACAAAGGAAAAGGAAACTGACAAAAAAAGCAAGAGAGACTCAAGGAAGATAAAAGATACTGACCAATGGAATTGACTTTGGAAGCAAAAAACTCAGAATAATTGACTGACTAAATGAATCAAATGGACATCATTTGTGGTCAAATAATTACGATAATTATCATAATTATCACCAATTACCATCTTTAGGCCTAATCTAATGTTTCAATGACGATGAGATGTCGACCCAAATCTCCCGTTGCAATTTGAAACTTGATCGATAACCAATCAATCATAGGTGACAGTTGATTCTTTAGAACTGAAAATAGTTCTAAGTCTCAGTCTTTCTCTCTCTCTCTCTCTCTCCCTCACTGGACATCACTCGATTAATTGTATTCCAAATTTCCATCGACATTTTCATCATCTCATTATCTTCATTTTCTTCTTTCTTTACTTTCTCTCTCTTCTTTATCCTAATTATCGTGCAAACATCATAACCCATCACAATCACCATCTCTCCTCCTTCCTCCTCATTCATCCTAATTGGATTACATCGCCTAAGGGTGGGCCTCACTCAACACTTACCAAAGTATTTTTTTCACTTTAAAAACTTCATGTGTCTTCCACTGTATCATCATCATCATCATCATCCCTTTTCATCATCATCTTTCAATTCCGATTCTTATCAAAATCACACCAGAAAATTGATCTCACTCAAGAAAAAAAAAACTATTCAAATGTAATCATATTAACGACAGTAGTCAGATGATGATACAAAATACCTTTTAATATTATCTTACCTGACTCTTTATCATCCTCATCCTCATCCTCCTCATCCTCATTATCATCATCATCATCCCTATCTTTTAATATATCTTTGTCATCTCTTGCTATTTTTTTAACAATCTTGTTGAGATTCTTGTCATCATCATAATGTCGTTGTAGTTATCATCTTCTCTCTCTCTCTCTCATCTTTTATCATCTTCCCTTTTCATCATGCTCTTCATCAATGATGATGAATCATCATCGGGATAATTTAACTTCAAATTAAGGTAATAACAGAGATAAAATTAAATGCAAAGAAGAAAAAAAAACATTTAGATAAGAACAAAAAAACGACAAGGTTGACAAACAAACTCGTTTCTTATATTATCACTTTCTCATCCCAATATCATCATCATCATCATCATCATCCTTAGCATCATCCTGAGCATCTGCCTCATCCCTTAACCAAAACCACACCTTTTACATGGTGAAGCCTTTGCTCCATCATCATCACCGGTGTTACCTTGATTCTGGTAAAAGTAAGAAACAAAAAATCTCCAACAGTTTAACAAGAAGTAAAAACTTTACTAAATTGACAATTAACTAATTAACTAATTAATTCACCCTCCAAGCTAAATCATATTAGTAAACTGATAACAAACATTTTCATTACATTAGTTAACTAATTAAACTTCAAATCAACTTCAATATAATATTAACACAAACAGATTTAGATAAGAAGAGAAGTTTTTTTTTTCTCGTTCGAAAGATACAACAAGATGGAGAAGAGAAAAAAAAAAGTTTTTCTTTTCTACGATTAACATTAATGATAACGAACGTTTAATTAACGTTGATTATCTTTTCTGATGACAGAAAATTAGATAGAAATGTTGGTTAATTTATGATGATGATGAAAATAAATTAAATCAAGATGATAATGATTAAGATGATGATTGTATCGCTTTTAACACAACAAACACTCATAAGAAACTTTTTTTTTAGTAGATTCCAATGAAATCTACCTGAACAATCAACAATCATCATCAACAGAATCATTTTTTTCCCTCCATCTATTAAACCTAATATTCAATTTCTGTGCTATCATTAGAACTTTTTTTTTTCTCTAAAATTGTATCTTTCTCTTTCTCTCTATCCTCCTACAAGTCGCGAGTACAAAAGGCCAAAACCCGTTTTACATCATATAATTTAAAGGCCAGAATATGAGCAGAAAAAAATAGTTACCGAAGGTAAAAAAATTCCGATTGTAAAAGTAGCCGAGTTTGAATGGAAAACCAATGATAATAATCATTAATATCTAATGATAACTTGACTTACCTGGATTCTGATGGAAACTAATAACTTATTATCATGTGTTTAATTTAGAAAACAATAATTTTCATCATTTTCTAAACTGATGATAACAATAGTAATGATGGTAGAAAGTTTTTCTCCTCTTCTCCAAAGTCGAGAGAGAGAGAGAGAGAGAGAGAGAGAGAGAGAGAGGGAGTGGGTGGAAAGGAGAGAGAATGGTTCTTATTCGTAATAACAAGAGAATCTAGATGTTTACCTGTATTTCAATTGTTCTGGTAGAGTTTTTTTCTTCGTTTTTTCTTCTTTGGAAAAAAAGTTCTAATCATCCACCCACTCATCATCATCACCATCATCAGAAGCAACTGATCAGAGTTTACTATCATTAACCAAATAGTATTACAAACAACATCTGCACAGGTAAACACACAGGTAAGTTTTTTCAGTAAGCATTTAACTCATGTTTCAATCTTATGCTCACTTTTATCAACTTTTTTTTTGTTCATCATCATCCTCTTTATATTATTGTCATTATCATCATTATGATTGTTGAAAGTATTCATTATCAACTGTATCATATTTAGATATAAGGTTTACCTGTAAAGATACAAAAAAAAGCGATACCTTGAAAACTATTATCAAGGTAACGATCCTCAGGTAATATTACATTTTCCGAGTAAAAAGAACGTTAATTTTTTTTTCTTTTTTACAATTATAATGATAATGACAATAGTTAATGGTTAATGGTATCAACAAACAATTTAAATGAGTTGGTAAGATGATGTGATAATCATAATACACACACACACACACCAGGTAATCATTATAATCTGTAATTGTAATTGTGTTGATCACTCTCACTCTGTCTCGTTGTTTTTAATGATTAAAGTGTAGAGGTAAAAATTTGTGTTTCGTTTTTTTTATTTGATTGAGAAAAAAAAAGTTCTAAGTTTGTTTTTTTCTTCTTGTCTTGGTGACCGAC